CTGGATGTGTGAGGGCTGGCAGTGTTGGTATAGACTCGAGTGGTCTTCCAATAGGTTTTGCGACAGAATATTGTAACTCATTATTGAGAATTCAATACCACTTGTCTTTGACTTATAGCTCTTTGCTCTCATAAACGGCCGATATTTCGATACTTTTTCCCGAATTTCATCTAAATTTTAATAATTGTTAAAATTTTAGATCAATAATAAAGTGGACTAAAGGGCACACATGTATACAGTATACTCTTTTAAACGTACATTTTATGCCTTATTTTAATTATCAATTCATTTGCACAACAAATTCAAACCCAGAATATTCTTTAACAAAAATTCCGGAATTATTTTTACCTTCAGTTAAAGTCTGTGTGTGTTTGTGATGTCTTTGGCTATAATTGTGATAACTTTGTGGTCGATATGAAGGATAAGATTGTCGGTGAGAATAGTCATAAAAGGGTTGACCCGGACATCCATAGTCGGCATTAGAGGGCATCTGATAGTAGTTTGGATTATAACTCCTATTGAAAGGATTGTCTTTGAAATAATTGAACGAAACGTCTGAAGCGAAAGCATTGGATCCGTTGACGTATCGGTCGCCCACTCGTCGGTCAGCATTAGTTTTGGCCAAACCCTCGTTTTGGGGCACTTTGTCTCCACATTTGGACCCCTTCTTCGTGTGTTTGTCATCACTTCTATGCGACTCTTTCTTCTCGTTAAGAGTCTCATCAGTGGTTTCGGCCGATGTCTTCGCCTTGGGATCAGTCATCGAAATGAAGTGAATTTTATTCAAATTTATAAACAATGTATTCGTTTCGCGAGAAATGCAACTAATTTTATGACAATATCTGCAGATTTGGTGACAATTTCTAATCGTTTCACTAATTGTTTGGTTTAATAAACAAAATATCATTACTTTTAGTGTAAAAAACAAATAAAAGCCTAAAAAGAGGTATAAATTGTGAATTTATTAAATAAAAGTCAATAAAAACACAAACAATTAATTGTGGATTCAGTTAACTATACTTTTCATAACGACTTTCAATGCATTTTATAAACTAAACACAAATTGTGTTAAAATATTAAATCACTTTTCATTTGACATTCTTATGAAATCATATGTTTATATCTGCCATACATTACGCCTATATTTATATCAATTGTTTTACACTCAATGTTGACTTCAATTCATTGAATTACACGTAAATGTAAACTAAATTTAACGATACTTTCAAATAAAGTGATAAATTAGTTGTGATTTAATTTTATTTTGCATTAATTTTAACTTAAATTATATGTAAATGACATTTATTTGACGTCATTTATTGGATATGAGATTGGAGTGTATTTTATAGACTAAACGCATTGAAAGCAATGTGTTTCATGAATAATATATTGTGAATGAGTGTACGATTGGACGGAAACAACAATCCATTCATTCAGTGATTCAGCTCTTATTGAAGTGTTATTTGAATTGAAGTTTCGGTCAATTGATTGTCCATTAATTGAGTGCTCATTACTAACCCGTTATCACCTAAACTGAGTCAACAGCGAGTATGAGTGCCATCGGAACCGGTGTAAGACACGGCACACATTGTGTGTCATCCACGCCATGCATGTCAGGCCTAATGTCAAGCCTAACGCCTGTATTTGTCTTTCAGTACGATTTGTCGGCGTCTCAGTTCTCACCGGACGGACGTGTCTTTCAAGTGGAATACGCCCACAAAGCCGTCGAGAACAGCGGGTTTGACCACTTGTGACACTTGTGACCACCCCTTTGTCACCCCCTCTGACCACTCATCCATTGTTTAGGACTGTCATAGCGTTGAGAGGAAAGGACGGCATAGTGTTGGCGGCCGAGAAGTTGGTGGCCTCCAAACTGTACGAATCGGGTGCTAATAAACGCCTGTTTAATGTGGACCAACACATCGGTGTTGCGGTCGCCGGACTTCTGGCCGACGCCAGAGCTATAGTGGAGAACGCGAGGGAAGAGGCGAAGAACTACCGCTCGGAATACGGTTCACCCATTCCTATCAAAGTATACACACTTTTCATGGTTTATATTCAATTAAATGACATTTTGTTTGGTTTGTTATCAATAATTGGTTTAATGTGTTGTCTGTATCGACGGCACGATATGTTGGCCTCATTTGTGACATAAATTTGAAACCAAATTGACGTCAATTAGTGAATAACACGAAAGGAAATGATATTAAATGAAATGAAATTGTTTTTTAAACACAGTATCTGAAAGAGAGGACAGCCATGTATTTGCACGCATACACTATGTATAGTGCGCTCAGACCTTTCGGGTGTAGTCTTCTGGTGGCATCACATGATAACATCGATGGACCGCAACTCTATTGTCTCGACCCGTCGGGCCTTTCATGGGTTAGCATTGATTTAAACAATGGCTTAATTTTGATGAATGTGTTGTTCTCAGGGCTACTACGGGTGCGCTATAGGAAAGGCCAAACAGGCGGCCAAAACAGAACTCGAAAAGTTAAAACTCAAAGACATGACCGCAAAACAGTTGATCAAAGAGGCG